CGTCGCCTCGTTGGTTCGTCGGTTTGTGCCGAGCTATGCTAAGGGACCTATAAGCAATTTTGTACGCCTACAGATACCCCCTCCAAAGTATTTCAGCCTCGTTCTTTTATAGAAGAGTCTGGAATACTTTGGATATGATTGTCCCAACCTTCAATCGGTGTAACGGGACTTTGGAATGGCTTCTGTTCTTGATTCCTTCAATCTTCCAGGCTATTCGGTGCTTTGTCGAATGTCTGTAAGAGTTCCGGTGCTGCATTTATTGTCTGACCGTTGTTGGAATTTTAAACTTGAAGTCGATTCCTGATTTTCTAATCTTTAGCTGACCATCGATTGTTGGCGTTGAGTTTTTATTTGCGACGCGTTGTCCGGCGTAGTGTTGTTTAGTTATCCTTAAAAATATTTATGAAAAATATTCTCCAGGAACTTCTCAACCAAAAATAGGGAATAGTTTATACTCATATACCTTATTGGAGTAATTTCTGTGCCCAAATGAGCTGAACCGGCTTGATAATGAGCCAAAAAAGGCAGTAATTAGGCTCAAAAAATTTTCTGATCTTTCCGAACATGTGGGAGAGGCAAGAATAAACCAAGGACTGAACCCTCTGTCGATTTGAAGTTGTTTCGATGCTCGATTCAGCTTCAATTTGAATTCTGGTTCAAACCAGGTCTGGTCCGGTTCAACTTTGTCTGGTCTGGTTCAACTTGGTCTTGGTTCAACATTATAAAAGAGGGTTTTTTCCCCTCATTAGGGCCGCCCCCCCTGACCCTTTTTCCACTTTTCTCTTCCCTCGAGCATCCTTTCTCCCTCAAAACCTCATAGTTGCATTAGATCTAGTCTTCCTTTGGATTCTTGACTGAGAAATCCCTCAAAAATCTTTACTCTCAGGCCCCTCGAGCGCGTGGTCTGAGTCTCTTTCAAGATCTGATTTTTATTGGATCCACGAGCTTTTCCTCAGGTAAATCTTCAACCATTTTAGCATTTTTTATGCTTAATTCAATTTATGAATTTGTGGGGTCGCATGCGAAGGTTAAGATTAAGATTTGGCGCCTCGAGCTCACCTTTCAGGGGGGAGAATTGCAAAAAGAGGAACTTTTTTTTCTGGATCTGATCCCTTAACTTATTTTGTAGGTCTCTATGTCTCGTATTGCGAGGGGTCAATCCTCTACCGCGTCGGCTGATGGTGCGCCTCCCTCTTATGCTGGTGAGCTATTTTTGGAAATCTACAAATTAGTCCATTTTTTCTTGGAAATTTGCAAATTGGTCCTTTTCACCCCATTTTGTTCTCCTTGGCGAGGCAATCGGGAAGAGCCTTGATTCTCCTTGGCGAGGATCGATGCTTTAAAGATATGTTTTGCTTGGTCAAAACTATATCTCAAAATCAATAAAGGGGGCGTTTTGACGCTGCATTGTGCCTTATAAGGCAGGGATATATAGTCGATATACCCTATCTTATAAGTGCATAATGTGGCCAAATCGTCTCACCCTTTATAAGGCAGTGACTCTATCTTACCCATTCGTAGGATGAGTTCAACTTCCTTTTATAATTGAGACTAACAAATGTTTAAATGTTTGCTTCCAGTGGAATATCCTTCTGGAGCGTTTTCATCTCACGCAGTGTATGGGCGTCGTGGCGAGTATTATTCGACTTCCGACGATTTTTCCCCTATCCCAGTCACTCCTCAGTTTGCTTCGCGTGTTTATTGATGCTGAGCAGTGGCTTTATAAGACTGGCAGTGGTTTCATATATTTGCCGAAGATTCCTCGGCATCGTTCGTTGACTGAGCTCCGGCGTCAGGCTGTGACACGGGAGATGTCGTGGCGCTTGACGGAGGAGCATGAGAGCGTTCACTGCGGATACATTACTCATCAGGCATTTCCTGGTTCGAGCAGGAGTCACATCACTGGATTGCATCCTGGAGTATTGGGGTTAGATGCACCGCCACGTAACGAGCTTCTTGCCGCTGCTTCTACTTTGAAGAATCGCCTCGCTGCTTTAGGACGGGAGATGCCTGCGACACGCCACAGGTTTTATGGTTGGGTCCATTCTTTGGATAAGCTTTGGTGGACTCGCATGACGAAATACGTCTTGAGCCGATGGAGCGAGGAGTTGCACGCTTGTGGTCTGTATGCAGCCGTTCGTGCCACCATGTATGGTTTACCTGTTAGCCTTCTTCGCTTTGTGCGAGCTCTACAACCCGGATTCGAACACTTTTCTGACCCGGCAAGGGGAGTTGGGCTTGGCCCTCCATGAGATGCACAGGATTTCTGGTTTGCCCATGGGACAGATGTTATATCAGGAATATTTTCCCTCCAACCAAGAATTGA